AAACAGTGTTGCCAAACGGCCTCTAAATTTGAAGTTTGACAATTCCCAAAAGCTTTGTCAAGTCATGCATTGTCAAAGTTAACCATCACTCTAACTAGAAAATAAGTGATACATTATGTCAATATGTGACGACCCTTCTTAATTTGTATTTGTTTTTTGGGAAAACTGTCAAATAGGTTCTCGAACTTTCATAAAAAGGTCAATTATGTCCTTCTATAGGAGACTCTGTCCAGTCGTCGCGATTTGGGGCGGTTCCTGGTGGAATTTTTTGATGAAATGTTTTGTGCATCTTATTTATCAAGTCTAGTTTACTCATACCAAATTTCAGCTAAAAATTTAATCGGGAGCGCATTCAAATTAATTCGAGAACGCAAAAATGCGCAGTTATCTTCAAGAATTAATTTGAATGTGTTCCCGATTGAATTTTTAGCTGAAATTTGGTATGAGTAAACTAGACTTGGTGAATAAGATGCTCAAAAAAATTCATCAAAAAATTCCACCGGAAACTGCCCCAAATCGTGACGGCCGTACATAACCTCCTATAGAAGGATTTAATTTACCTTTTTATGAAAGTTCGAGGACTTATTTGACAGTTTTCCCTATTTTTATCATATGGAAGTGGTAAGCTAGCGGTACAAATTACTCATGTCAAGGCTATTAGTTCAATTGGTCAAACAATGTGCAAGTTTGTACATGGTGTGGGTTCGAGTCCCACATTTTAGTTTTTTGAATGGAAATAGAATGGCATACTAAACTGCTATAATATACCGAGTATATGGCAACATCTTAACAAATCAAGTTAATGTTTTTGGGATAGAGAGCTCTATTCTTTGTGTGCCTCTCAGTTTAGCCTAACGAACAAAGTGAATCCTTCCTGTCCATTAGGAAGAGAGCTCGTGACCAGCAGAAGAGAAGAGGATGGCCGGAGCCTAGGATCTTGTGAACTTTCCTTCCAAGAAGCAAGTGTAAGCGTATCAACGAAGTAGGTATTGACTAGCTTCCCCTAGTATCCTGTTTCCGAAGGAAAGCTTGGCCTGGATAGAGATGAAGATGAATTAGGGTGGTGGTTTCTTTCCTTTCCTATGGTGATATTGATTCTTCTTCTTCTTGGCAGGTCTATAGTAGTATAGCTTAGTTTGTTCTTTTAGAATAGCATACTTAACTGCTATAATATTTATAGCAACATCTAAACTAACACTTTTAAGGCTGAACATCATCAATGCAAGTTGATACATAGGTTACGAAAATGAGGAACACAAGGTGTAATCATATACTAGTAATTATTATCTTTGGTTTAAGTTTTCCTTGAGATGATTTGAGCAATGCAAGTATGCAACCGGGGATAAAGGGCAACTTAAGCTCTACTCGGGATTGAGCAATGCATCAAATGTACTCTACACACCAAATGTAAAAACATTGATGTTAAGATTTGAAGTAGCCAAGATGATAAGATATAACAGATCCAACTCTTTGCATGTTATAATCCTTCCAACCACATTCTAAATGTTAAATAAAAAAAGTGTTCATCATATCATTTCTTTTGATACCCAAAAGAAATGCTGGAACAGGTGTCAAAACTTTTCGATAAATAGCTCCACCTATGGGGCCACCAGATTTTTTCATTAAATTTTGCATGTTCGGCCACCAGATTTTTTCATTAGATTTTGCATGTTCTGAACGGAGATTTGTTTTGTATTATTTACACAAGCAGAGTGAAAATTAATTCCAAACTTATTGGCTCATAATGAAGAATAGAGAGCAATATTCCTAAATTAGATCACATATAAAATAAAACTATCATTGCAAAGTAGGTTGTTGCTCAACTGGAAAAGTTGGGAAAACAAATGCATGTTAGTATAATTAACGACAGTTTTAATGAATTTGTATTTAACTGGCTTCACAAAAAATATAATTATACTGTAACAAATATACATACAAATATTCTATTTTCTCATTTCACTTTAATTTAATGGATTCACATGCTTATATATGTTATCGAGAGTGATTTTCTGCTAAACCTACTTTGGCCTCATTGACTTTTTATAAGACTATTAGCTTGTTACCATATCATATTTCAATCAGTATCATTTTACAGAGAAATATTTAATTGGCGAAGCAACTTTAGCTAATTTTAAATGTTTTGGAAATCCCTCATTTTTGAAAGCAAAAATTTAAGTTGTTTTACGAACTAGGTAAGCCTGGTTCAATTACTCAATTTGTATTTCATATTTTAAACCTCCTTTGAGCTAATGAAGGAAATACTCTGATAATCGTATCAACTTCACTGGAGTGCAAGAACATTTTTTCCTGATAGTTCTGTCAAAAGGACTCTTAAAGGGATTTCATTGAAACTCTTTTAGCTCATTATTTATGTCTATTTACCATACCTGCGTTTCCTTACCTCTGTACTTTGTATCATTATCCATCCCACTTTTGCGGTTCTTATTCAATCAAGAGGACATGCAAATAGCAGCTCTACTATTAGAGTTATAGTCTATGTAGCACGGAAACTCTGGGGAAAGAGTACGTTTTCCGTTTCGGAAACTCTCGGAAACTCTTTGGAAACTCTCCAAATAAGCATTTTTTGAGCAAAAGTTGGCGTTCCCCGTTTCCCGTTTCCTCATGATTACCGCGTTTCTGTGCAACACAGGTTATAGTTATTTAATCACTATCCAAGCAGGGACGGAGCCAAGATTGAATGTCAATGGTGTCAATTGAGAAAAATAGTATTATACAATAATGTGTACATAAATAAAGCTATAGAAATGATCTGGTCAGTCCGGACTAATTAGATTTGCCGTCTGGCCAACCCCGTTTAAGGCCCTTCCAGGTCGAATTTTTTTATGTAATTTTTTAGCATGGTGTTCATGAAGTGTAGAACACCACTACAAAATTCCATCAAAATTCTCAATCGATAAGTGAATCAAATAAATTATTGAGAAACAGGGTGCTTTATGTATTTATGGTGCCATGTTTTTCAATAATTTATATAACTTTCTTCTGTGTCAAAATTTTAGATAAACTTCTGTGGAGATGTTCCACACTTCATAAAGAACCTGTTCACAAAATGTTATCAACAAATTTAACCCGAAAATCTCTCAAACGGGCTGGGCCGGATGGATGTTTCTATTAGTTCGGGCTGATCAGATCATTCCTCATACCTCTATAAAGCAAAATAGCAAAAATTATCATTCGTAAATTAAAGTGTTAATTCACACCTACCCACAACGCATTTTCATATGTTGAAAATGTTGTGCAATTTTTTCTTTGTTAACACTTTTAAATATATCTTTTTCAATAAAAGTAATTAAGGTATCACTCATCAAAACATCTTCCATTCGATTGTGCAATCAGTTCTTATGTGAATCTATCGTTCCTTCTTGCAACGATTTGGAGTTGGACTATCGGAGTAAGAGTTGGGCATTTGCCTAATCGCGCAACGCGCATAAAAAAACTAGTACGTAGTATAATGGATGTAGAAATTTCACCGGATGGAATTCATTGTTATTTAATTTTAACAAACAAAATTTAAGATAACATAGTTTCATCTCGAATGTACAGACAATGAGCATTTTGAGTGTTTGCGATTGCTTTTACTTTTAAAATGTGATTTTTAGAGAAGGTGCTTTTTAATAAAAGTTGAGTGCGTTAGTATAGAAGTGATTATATTAAAAAACTTAAAGTGTGAGTGTTTGATAAAAAAGTGATTTTAGATATAATATTGTGGTAAAGTACAAATGCACCCTTGCATTTATTAAATTAAATAACAAAATAGTCAGTATATCTCCTTGTACCCACCCAACAATAATATTCAAACCCATTACACCCAATTCATAATATTTCCTCCATCTTTCAAATTCAATTTCGAATCTCACGAAGAAAACCTTGGACGGCAGTGCAATTGACGCCCAATTCGACAAAAACACACACATATACAATACAATATTTTTCAAGAATTAATATTAGCTGAAGAACTTGACAATCCGCATTAGCAAAAGCCTAGAGATTATGAAAATTAATCCGTAGTATAAGCAATCTGGAAATCACACATAACAAACTGCAAAAGTAAAGCCATTTTTCTTCTTGTTTATGTTCTTCACCATGTACGGCTGGGAAAGATGATATATAAAGATGAGAAGTGTTCCCCCATCCGAACACCGCCGTTTGGGGCGGTTTCCGGTGGATTTTTTTGATGAAATGTTTTGAGCATGTTTCTCATCTAGTCTAGTTTCTCCACAAAAAATTCGGTTCAAAATTCGATCGGGAAGACAGTCAAATCATTTTTTGAAGTTGACTGCGTTTTTATATGTATATTTTGGTGCAGTCAACTTTAAAAAAGGATTTGACTGCCTTCCCGATCGAGATTTGAGCTAAAGTTTTTTGTGGATAAACTAGACTTGATGAAAAACAACTCTGAAGTTAATAGGCTCGAAATATTGGCCCACATGCCCCATTGAGTTATATCTTAATTAAATGTTCATTCTTGTTTTTTATACTACTATTAATTTTGATTAATCAAGTGATTATGTCAATTTAGTTCAAGGACAAATCAATTTAAGTATTATGGAGTCATGGATTGCCTGAACCACTTGGGTTACAAATTGGGTAACTAGTCTAGCTGTTGGTCTAATTAAATGAGCCAAAACTTTAAGCCCAAGGCTATTAATTATTAGTATAATGGAAAATTATGCACAAATGCTTTTGCTTAATTATAAATAGAATCATGGTGCTCAATGAACTACTAATGACCTATGTTTGCGTGGAAACGTGGTGAAATGAAAAACGAGAAGTGCGTTTGATGTTTGAAAGGTGAAATAAAAAAGCAACTTTTTTATTAGTTTGAAAGGTTTTATGTTAGTGTAGCTCTGGTTACAGATTCAGTTTTTTTCGTAATTTATTCTAACTTTACTATACATTTCCTTAATAATGAGTGTAGCACTTAATTATGTCGTTTATGAATTTCAGAAGAGAGCCTTAAAAAGTCCTGCGGTAATGTTATATTTTTAGATATATATAAAAGACACCAGAAAGTTGTTGGTTTTTTTTATTTCTCTTCTCATGCCAATGTATATCATCATACATGGGGTTGAGGCAGTGGGTGATGGACTGATGGGGTTTCTATTTTACAAAGGGACAAGTGCATTCACATTGCAATATGGACAAGTGCGTTTAAGACAAGAAGTATAGTTGTAGTACACATAATACAATGCAAATGCCTAAATCTTGCTAGCCTTGTACCTTAAATTACTCGTAGAGTGTTGAGTGGGACAATCTTGGAGTAGGGATTAAAACCAGAGGAACTCTTTTCTTTAACACAATCCCAAACTTCTCAGAGAGCTCTAATGTCTCTCCTTGGGGAAGTTTCCAGTCAAAAGAGTGAATGACTGAGGCAAGTGTATACATGAACATCCTCTCAGCTGAGGCTATCCCAGCACAATTCCTCCTCCCAGAACCAAATGGAAAGTAGTCAAAGTTTTTAGCACTGTAGTAATCCCAAGCTTTGTTGTCCAAAAACCTCTCAGGCTTAAACTCCAATGGGTTTTCCCATACAGAAGAGTCTCTATGGATAGCCCATACATTCACAAAAACACGAGCGCCTTGTGGGACTGTATATCCCCCAACGATGCAAGTTGTGCTCGGGCTATGGGGCACCAAAAGTGGCAGGACTGGGTGCAAGCGAAGAGTTTCTTTCATTACAGCAGACAAATATTGGAGTTGGTGAATGTGAGACTCCTCAATTATGTTGTCCTTTCCCACTATAGTGTCTAGCTCTTCATGTAACTTCCTTAGGACATCTGGTTCCTTCATGATCTCAGCCATGGCAAACTCTGCCGTGTTTGCGGTTGTGTCAGTTCCACCAGTAACCATATCCTGTTACCATTAATAGAGATCAGAATTTATTTGTTTATATGATCACTAACAGCGGAACAAATGGGTTAATGCTTTTAGATAAGTTTATGCCCTTATAATGTCAACAAATGTTCTATTATATACTTTGTTGATGGACTGATGGTTCTGGGTTCAAAGTACCAAATTTGTCAAAAACAAAACCACCATAAAGTGCAGCCCTGCAAAAGGTCAGCATACCATGAGTAAGGCTTTGAGATGAGTGATAGTGAAAGGTATTCTCTCATCACCTTCTCCATCTTTGAGCTTTAGCAAAACCTGCAAAAAGTCCCTACTTCCCATCTCATCACTACCCATTCTCAATCTTTGATCGATTACCCTCTCGAAAACCTTGTCCAACTTAGTAACCAACTTCTTCATCTTCCTCCGAATCCCTTGTAAGTCATATCTAGCCAACCCGGGATAAAAGTCAGAAACATTAGGCAACCCAAGCAGGTCTATAATACCACTCACAATCTGCCTAAACTCAGACCCAAGACTTTCCCTTTCTGCCCCCTTCATCGTGCCGCCCCACATCATGCCTGTGATAACATTGAGCACTGTCAAGAACATTTGCTCACCCACATTCACCCGCCTCCCGGCATGTTCATATAAGTATTTCACCGTGTTCCGAACTTCCCGGCGCCTGAGATCATAAACAGAGTCCAGTGCCGAGCTGCTGAGCATTTCCCGCACGCATATCTTCCTCAACATCCTCCACTCCGGCCCATGTGGGCTCCACACGATGTCCTTGCCGCCGAAGGTGGCTTCCCGTCCAGCAGCAGGGACGTCGCGATTCGCAAAGGCGGAGTCTTGATCCTTCAAGACCTCCCGAGCTATGGAGGGCGAGGTGATGACGATTCCGGGCTTCCTGCCTAGCCAGAGGGTGTATATGGGACCGTGGACCTGGGACATGGAGGCCATGTATGAGTGGAGCTCGGGTTGGAGTGAGAGCAGATTCCCGAGTAAGGGCAGGGGTCTTGGACCTGGTGGCAGTGGCGGCTGATGCTTTCCATTTCTGCTCTTCTTGAGGACGATTGAGATCCACAGCAGCGTCCCTAGAAAGATTAGGGCGCAGGAGATGAGAAAACCATGGTTTTGGTTGCTGTAACCTGCGACAATTTCATCTTCAAACATGGTTGATGATCTGGGCAAGCTTTGGGCTTCGGGATAATTGTAAAGATTGAATCAAGCCAAGCTAAGATGTGTTCTTACATCGTAGTCATAAAAATTTTGTTTGTCAAAATTGGACTTTGTACCTCATTTTTTAAAATTTTTGTTTTTTCACCCCAACCCCATATGAAAGACAAAATTGCCCTCAATCAAAGATATGTTGAAGGCCAACAAAATTGTTAATGGAGGGGCATTTTTGTCTTTTCATATGGGGTTGGGGTGCAAAAACAAAGATTTTAAAAAACGGAGTGCAAACTCCAATTTTTCACAATAAAATGAGTTGCAAACTCAAATTACCCCAAAGTTCTTTACATTCTATATTTGGACAGAGAGATGATCGGGTAGCCACCAGATTTGGAAACTCATGTGAGATGTATTTGGTCAAATACCCATATTTTTTTACAACCATGCTTGTTGTATCCACCACTTTATACCCACCTTATATCCACCTATGTGAAGACTATTTTTTTGTGTGTGAAGCTGGTTCACAGACAAAATATGTCTTTGAATTCCTTCACAGACATATTTTGTCTGTGAAGGAATTCACAGACAAAAAAAAATTACTTCACAAACATGGGTGGGTACAAAAGTGGGTATAAAAGTGGGTACAAACATCATTTTCCATTTTTTTAATCCTCCTATGAATATATAATTAACACCTTTCGCATTCTAACTCTAATAATCACATGTAACAATTACTGGTCGAATGTCCAATTCACTCCCCAATAAAAATTAAGCAAGATTGATTAGTTGTGCGAGATTCACATCCCCAATTCACAGGAAAATAAGAATTAACTAAATTTAGCGATAAAAAACAAAAAAAAACGATTGTGCGAGATTGATTAGTTGTGGGAAAATTAAAATGCAACAAAATCATTAAAATAAACAGCTTCTCTCTAATTAATGACGAAGGGAACAGAGATTGATTCCGGAGTAACCAGATTTTTGGCAGATCAGGCTTAATTACATGAAATCAATTTAATTGAGTCTAGCTAATCATTACTAAGTTCTTACCGCTCTCGCGGCGTAGAATACAATAAATTAGGGAACCAGTCTGATCTCTCATCCTACAAGTATCTAAAACTATTGCCTAAACGAACGAGCGTACAACCCCTTAATCGCTACTAATCTCTTAGCGAACGATTAAGTGTGTGTGAAAGTGTTCTAGAATAAATTAGATATCTTTTAATTTAGGGAAAACTGTCATATAAGTCCATCTATTTTTGGAAAAAAGTCAATTGAGTTCATGTACTATTTAATGAATCAATTAAGTCCGCAAAGTATGAGAAAATAATCAAATTGGCTATTTAGCCTGTAAACGTCCGGTTCTCCGGTTGTAACGTCCATTTGGCTTTTTTCTTTCAATTTTCTATTATTTTATATTTTATCTTTTTCTTTTCTTTTCATTTTTTCTTTTTCTATTTCTTTTGCTTTTCTCTTTCCTTGTTTCGTCCCCGTGTCTGCAACTCTGCAAGACTGCAACGTCACTCCATCTGCTTACTTCTCGATTTATCAGTCTATGGAGGCTGAGGAGCAGAGTTCGATTCACTTGATGAGGCATAGTTATAAGCCGCAGAGGTGGAGACGGCTATGGAAGCCAGAGTTGTTGGAGGTCGCTTCAGTGGAAGAGGCGGGGGGTAGGCCACGAAGATGGTAGCCGGAGGGCGGAGGCGGTGTTTACGGAGGTATGGGCGGCGGAGGTCGTGGCTATGGAGGTCGGGACCGCTGGAGGTTGCTTCAATAGAGTAGGTGAAAGTGGACGCCGCAGAGGTGGTGGCCGGAGGCGCGCGGTGTGCAGGAGGGGCGGCGGAAGTGGAGGTGGAGGCCGGAGGTGGTGGTGACCGGATGCGGTGGCTATGGAGGCGGAGGTGGTGGCTTGAGAGGTCTGGGAATAGTTCGTTCCAAGGTGGCAAAGGGAGTAAAAATGGAAGAAAGTGAATGGATTTCAGGTGGAGACAAGAAAGAAATGGAAATGGTAGAGCTGCAGACTGGGAAGAGGGAGCGTATTCAGCGGACAGGAAGAAAAGAAGAAAGAGAAAGAAAAGAGAAAAGGGAGAGAGGAAAAAGAAAAAGAAAAGAAAAATGGAAAAAAATAGAAAACAATAAAAAAAGTAACAGCTGGGACTTCCACGTAAGCAATTGACCGGGTAACTGGTTAGCTACCTGCTAAATAGCAGATTTGATCATTTTTTAATAGTTCACGGACTTGATTGATCTGATAAAAAGTATGTGGACTCAATTGATTTTTTGTTCAAAGTACATGGACTTATTTGACAGTTTTCCCTATTTAATTTATTCTACATGCAATTGTAATTTCAGTGGTCATTATAAGTTACAAGAGATATCAATTAAATCATTCATACACAAATTAAATAAAGATTCATGCAAGTTAAACCATCAAGAAACTAGTCATACATCATGATTAACCCCTTCATCAATCCCAATTCCCTAATTAAAAGTACTCACAATTCATAATTGAAAAATCAATAGAATTGGGAAAGAAAGAATTAATTGTCATTAATTAAAAAGATGGAACTTACAAAGAGTCCCAAAATATTGATGAACAAGGCTGAAAAGCTCACTATATTTCGTGCTAGGCACTCTCTCTAAGCTCCGTAACCTCAAAACGGGAAAATAAGGGCCTTATTTATAGTAAACAGGCAAATTCGAGCTGATCTGGGATTTTCGGAGGCAGGCACGGCATGCCTCCCTGCCGTGCACGCGGAACAATCGTGCGCATCGGGGCCAGACACGGCTGTGCTGCCGGGAGGCACGGCCGTGCCTGGCTGGCAGTAGCTTCTTCCATTTTCCTTCAGCACGCACGGCGTGCCTACCTTCCCTTCTGAATTTGTAGATAATGAAGTACTCTATCCACCAATATTTGCAAAGTTGTATTTAAATCATCCAATCAAAAGATATGAATAAAATGGTAGAATGCCGCATTCTGAAATCTCAACAGCAATTATCTGAATTCCTCATCTGTTTTCTCCTTGATCCTCTCAGATTCTCGTAATGTTGTCTTCATATGATTTGTAGCCATTGAAATTGGCTTTCATATGAAATTTGAATCGCGTTCTTTGGATGTTTCTACAAAAAGATATGCTTGAATGATTGACATAATGTTATCCTGATTGCCGCTTTCAAGCTCTATTCGTCTTCTTTTGATCATGTAGCCAATCCTAGAGCTCTTTTATCATCAAATCTTCATCGTGAACCTCCCGGTGATCTCCAAAGCTCTCAAATCTCTCTCGAATTCATCTTGACTCGTCCCGATTTCTTCTCAAGCGCCGATGTCGGGCTCAAATTCCCTGATTTTGACTCCAAAAATAGCAAACACGAACCAACACCCGGTAAAATATGGCTTAAGCTAAAATTGAGACTTGTGACACCTAAAAGCTAGGAATACCATCAAAAGCCGATCCCAACACGCATCAAATGCGTGTTGTAATATGAACTTATCAATAACCTAAATAGTGATAAATTTAGGTTTTGATACATCAAATATGTTTAGTCGAGTGAAAATTGACACCCCGCTTTCAAACAATAATGTTATGCACCCCATTATTTGATTGAAAAAATAATATTTGTATTGTGTTCCTTCTCAAATATTTAAACTAATAGGGCGCCGCGTACAATAGTTTTTCTAAAAAACACGCATAAGAATGTTTTTACTTGGACTGCAATTTGCTGATCTGGTCTGACCTGGTCTGGTCTAGTCTGGTTATGTCTGATGTCTTTGAATTTTTATAACTGTCCAAGTCTGGTCTGGTCTGGTCTGGTCTGGTCTGGTTTGTTCTGAACTGGTTTGGTCTGGTCTGGTCTGGTCTAGGACAGATTACGGTCCAAGTAAAAACATCCTATGACCCAGTTTTGTATACACTGTTAAATTTCTCTCTAAGCAAACTGATTATATTGTTGTCGAAACACAATATTTTTATATTTATTTAAAGTCGCCATTTTCAGTTGGATTTTTCTTCAATATCTTTCAAAGTACTATGTATAAAGATTTCCTCACTTTATTATATAGACTAGTATTTTTACTTGTGTCGTGCACGGGATAAAATACACTTTATATTTTACTCCGTAAGTTTTTATAGAATGTAGAGAAAAATATTTGACGGTATCGTTGCCATTCCATGATATCTAAAAAGAGTGGATGACTGAATAAAGATGTCCACATCGCAACTTGATCTAAATTTCATAGCTCGCCATCTCTTCAAAAGACTAAACACCGACATCATCTTTTCAATCATCACCGTGAAGTTTCCATTATTGTAAAAGGCTTTATAGACTCAATGTGGATATTATGTACATCTTTATTGAATGCTGTAATTTTTGTATTTTATTATAACAAGTTGTTTTTGTTTTTGTTCATGTGTAAGTTTCTTTTTGTTATTTACTATGTATAATACTTGATAAATGACAATTGGGAGTCGAGGACTTTCCCCATTTATTTTGGTGATTTACCGTTTGAGTTTATAAAAAATTGTGACCTTTATATTTTAATAGTGGTGACGACGGTGACAGTAGGCTGCATGGCAACAACCGGTGAGTCTCTGGGCAACGACAACAACATTAGTTTATTTTTGTTAGAGCTATTGATAGTATTATGATTTTATTAGTAGATAAAATAAGTGCCATAGAAAGAAGATTACATGTTTTAGACTTTAATTTGGCCATATTTATTTTCATGACATATCTATTGGTTAATAAATGCTTATTAAAAATGTCAACCAACACATGGAGAAAAACAAATAACATATAATGTATTACTATTATATGTTATTGGCCTTTTAACCGGTTATAATATGATTCTAATCTAGAACGTTTACAATTTCAAAAGTAGGGTATTTTAGGACTACGATATGTTGAATGTTTTAAGAGATTTGTTGATTCTAATGTAATATTGAGTTCGTTTTAGGGAGGACTTCTTTAAAAATATTTTTAATTGAATTAAAATATCTTTTCTGTTTTATTATGATCTGGTCTGAACTGGCTTGATATCGTAGATGATTAGGCTATAAATATTAAAAAAAATTACATAAATAGAGTA